TAGCCCCTTTGCTTTATCACAAGAACCATTCTCTTTGCTTCTACTATTTTAATTAAGGCCAGACTAATCAGGTGGAAGTGGGGGGACAACTGGCCAGGGCTTTCTGAGGGCATGTATTAATTAAGATGAATCAGCCACAGAGATGCTTAGATAAAAGATAGGGTAGATGTGGAAAATGTAAACACATTAATGATTTTTTTTTCCTTAGATACTATCCATTATGGTTTCTATTTGGTTTTATTCTTATAAGAGCAATTTAAATGTGTTTCAAGCCATGTTCATAATCATATAATAGAAGTCATCAATTTCTTTGAAGGGGGGAATAATAATTTAATATATGAAAAATCTTTTGTGCCATCACAATTTGATTTGGTCCAAAAATGTTGCAGTACTCTCCCTCACTCTATTAAACCAAATCTATCTTCTCACACTTTCATCTGCTCTTCTTGTGATAAGCATTGGGGACATATGGTCAAAGTCTCTACCCTTGGTCTCTAACTGATAATTCATCTTAGGAATATATTTATGTGAACACCCAGAAACTGGAGTTTTAGTCTTTATTATATTTGCCTTGTGTGCTCTTAATATTACAGTCACTGAATATATTCAGCTCATATCATCTGATAGTATACAGCTGGTCCATTCGTGACTGGTAAGGAAAACAAAATTAACTGACAATCAATTGATTTGGGTTCTACATTGTGCCACTTTGCTGTTTCTTTAGAAGTTATTTCGATTAATAATCTCTCAAGTTTTTTTTTCTTTTTTCATGGAAAAAAAAACAAAGCATATAATGAAATGCGTCCTTTACCATGCATAATTGTTCTACCATCACCATACGAATTCTCATACACTCATCTCTAAATGTAAATCACTCTTCCTCCAGCTTACTCTTCAGCTACATCTCTTCTATTCCTTGATTTCTTGGGATCCCTTCTGTTCACTGTGCAGCTGGAATTATCATTTTGGAACAAAATTCTAATTGTACCCTTTTCCTCTTTATGACAATTCAACAGCTTCCTCCACTGGCTTCCTCCATTACTCTCAGGATAAAACACAGCTCCTAATGAAATCTAGACAGATCATCTTGTCCTTCACCATGCTCCAATTCATTTTGTTCTGCACTCCACTTCCCACTCTAGCCCCTTGGCTTTGCCATGCTCCCCCCAGCCACTGATTCTGCACACATGAAGCTTCCTCTACCTGGAATGTTCTTCCCTTCCTTAGATATGCCTATTCATCCTTCTGATCTCAGGTTGATTGTGGCTTCCTCAGAGAAGCTAGATCTAATCYTTTACTTTAAACTGTCTAATCACATGTGTCTCATTTTTTGCATAGTTGCATTTTTATATCAAATCATGACTATTTAATTAATGTTTATTTTCCCTAGTAAAATACAAACTCTGCTAAGCCAAGTCCTTCATCTAAATATACCTACCACCAAATCTTAACACATGCATGTCAAAGGTGCTCTGTAAAGACTTCTTGACTGAGAACATAATAAAGTTCCTAAAGTTTTCTCAGGATAGATAATACAAAATTTTTAAGTGTGTTGTTTCCTACAATATATACAATGTAACATATTTTTTAAAAACATAGGTATACCTAAACAAATTATCTAGAATAAAATCATTCTTCATATCTGTTATTTTCAAATTTTGTCTTCTTTCCTTTCATTTTACTTGCAATCTGAAATGTAGGAGCTTTGATGATTAATGTAAATAGAATTCCTTAATAAGGATTTTCTCTTGTATTATACACTGATAAACAAAACAATATCTTTTCTTTCATATAGTTTTCTTGCTGTTTATTAGCATTAATATGGATATTACATACTAATACCATAAAATTCAACATGTCCATGCCTTTTTTGTGTATCTGTTTCCTATTATTTTATGAGCATGAATATTAGTAAATATTGCATTTCCTATAATAAAAGTAGCATTAACTCTAAAAGTGCTAATAATTTCATAGTCATTAACATGGAAAATGGATCCTCATGGTAAGTTTATTTAAACCTAAAAATACTATCTAGGATTTTTTTTTGTTGTTCTAGGTGAAATTATTTTGAAATGTTGAATGAGTAACAGGAATGAAAAATGATTTTAAACTTCAGAAGATTAATGCAAAATAATAATGAACACTGTGAAAAGACCAAACACTGCAAAAGAAGACCCAGAATTTTACAAGTATCTTACTAAAAGTCTCTTACTAAAAGCAACTTCATSCATAAAATCAGACTCAAACAGGTGAATGGGTTTAGGTATGGATTGTCAACACTATAAAGGGGATTGGAGAAGATATAAAAGGTGATCCAGAGCAAGTTTCATGCTAAATAATGAAGACTTCAATCACATATCAGAATTTTAGAGTTGGGAAAAAAAAGTAAAAGATTAATAAGTTCAGATCCATTCTATTATATATGGGGGAAGGAAGCTTAAGAAGGCACAAGTCATTTGTCTAATGCCACAGACCCAGTTGATGCCATCCACAATGACTGGAAGCTCAATCTCTCAGTCCACACTTACTCTCACAATATTATGCTGCCCCATCACATCAATTTTCTAGGAAAAATGATCTAAGCAATAAACTCCAGGTCCAGATCACTTGAGTAACTGGAGAACTCACAAACATTTTTATAATTATAGTAACGTGGACCAGATCTTTCTAGTTAGCAAATAATAAGAAAAATAATCACTATCCTATTTACCTAGTATTCCTTAAAATTTTCAAGCATACCTAAGAAACATTAAGAAAGCCTATATCCTAAATAACAATGGTTCTGTATTCCCACATCTCTTTCCTGCCAACACAAGCTTTTCAGGTAATACTTTCATAAAAAAAAAATCTGCCAATTCATTGCAGAAATGGGTATTGACAGAGATTTATGGTATTATGCTACACCAGTGGTATGTTCATAAACCAGCTATCCAATAAAATACAAAAATTTAACAGTTCTGATTTGTAGGATTTGCTGATTTCTGTGTTATGGATATTCCCACCATTGCTTATTTCAGACTACCAASTAAAAGTTGCCCCTAGTACACTTATCAGGAAGCTTCTGCAYACCACAGATTAAAAAAGGATAAAAATCCTAGAAAAATAAAACAAACTCAATCCATTCAAAATTTCCTTAAAGAGGAAACTGACTTCAAAGAAATAAGTGATTTGTTTGCCTCAAGATCACAAAATGACTAAGCAGGTGTTTCAAACCAAAGATTCCATCTCAACTGTCTTCACCAATGAAATAAAACTTCATGCAATAGAAAACAGTCAGTGGTTCTCTCTGACCATAGAGACCAGTGCTTCTCAAGAGACCACCAGCATCAACCGTACCAGAAGTCCTGATAGAAATATGTACTCTTGGAATATGCTCCTGACCTTAAAGCATAATATCTTAGGCCTGGAAATTTGTTTCAATGAGCTCTATGAGTGGTATAGAAAATAGGGGGAAAAATCTTTCCTCAGTACTGACAATTTTTTTTTAATGAATGTAATGTGGGTATAAATCAAAGATAATAACTATTCCTTTCACATCAGCATTGACTAAAGGGAATACTTCATCTGAAATGTCTCTCATAAAGCCCACCACCTTTCACATTTTCAAAGACCTTACCTTTCAAAACAGTTTTGATTTTTCTAACAATAAGAAAAAGTTTGAGTTATTTACCTGCCAACTCTCAACACCGATATGTTGTAGATCAAAATCTATCACACATTCATATGCCTTAGACTCAGCATTTTTAACATTTGTTTTTTAAAAACAGCTTCTTTGAAAATAAATATTTATCTTTCAAGGTTCTACCTTACCTTTTTCACAAATCAAGACAGTAAACAGCAACAGGCTGCCTTCACACAAATCCACCTACTGCGTTGTTAACTGATTATATGGTTGTATATTTGTGTTTTGGTTTATCTGCCACTTTCTGTTGTTTTGATATGAACTCCCAATCTTCAAAGCCAGAACAAAGGCAAATAAATGTTCCCTGTTGTTTTACTCTTCCAATATTTTAGAGGTTGGAAAATTTACAACACACGTATCCTCTWGTAAAACATTGCAGAAGACAAAAAGAACCATTGAGTAATAGTTTTGCTAGATTTAAAAATACCTAGAAAAGGCACACTATGATAAATACCTACACTGATAGGATTTTGAAAATAGTTGGGCAATTATCTAAAAATACAGGTATATGATTTTTAACTCAATTATTCATGGTTAACTTTATTGGGAGGGTAAACTTAATTATGTTTAATGTATTTGCCCAGAAATGAGAGGGCTAATAATGTGTTTGTAGATAACAGGTTAATAAAAAAAAAAAAAAAACATTTTGAAAGAAGATTTTAGCACTTCCACTCTTCCTAGCATGTAGTTCTTGGCCTTGGTGGGAGACAGATTCTGGACCGGACAGTAGATGCTTTCAAAGAAACTAGAGGATTAATCTGATAGTTCTCCAATGACTTGGCCTAKTAGAACCTGTATTTACCAAGCCTTGGCCAGAAAAACTTTGGCTCACAGAAAACAACCATCTTGCAACCCAACACCTATAAGATTTTTTTTTTTTTGGTGGTGGTGCTAGGGATTGAACCCAGGGCCTTGTGCATGCAAGACAAGTACTCTATCAACTGAGCTATATCCCCTGCCCCACTCATGAGATTTTTAAGGTCCCTTCACTAACTCTTCTCAAGAAGAAGAGCTTATCTCAGGAGATTCATCATTAACTCCACTAGCTACTTGGGCTGAGAGCACAACCGCCATTGCTCTCCACCCTTAGGGTCCCCATGTGTKAATCTGCCAGCATTCGACCCTCCCATGCCTTCTGCTCGAGAACTTCCACCTGCATGACCAGGATTCAAGGAAACCACTTTCTGAGATGAGCTGAACTGTCCAGAGGTGCTCTCCTCCCTGACACAATAGCAGATGGGTATGTGAGGACAGTCACAAGTGCTGCCACACAAGCATTGTGGGAGTTGGGAGCCCAGAGAGCAAGGAGGACACTTACGGTTGGCACAGCTTGATGAGRTCCTGGTCCGTGGTGCCTGGCGGAAGGCCTCTGATGTACAGGTTGGTTTTACTCAACTGTTCCCCGCCGCTGTTGCTGCTGCTGTTGTTGCTGCTGCTGTTTGTGCTGGGGCTGGGAGGAGCCATGGGGTGGGGAGCTGGTGCATAGGACTGCTGCAAACAGAAAAAGCTGTTACTGGAACAGCAAAAACCAGCACACCTGTTCACAGGCAGCAGCACAACTTGAAAAGCAAGGCAAGCTTCTGAATCTGCAGTCCCCACACATAGGCRTGCACACACACACACTTGCACAAGTGCACTGCTCTCAGTTGCTTTCTGAGGACATCATTGGCTTTGTKGGGATCAGCATAAGTTAACCATAAAAGGGGGAAAAAGAAGTTACCARGTGCTCCTGGCAGTAGCCTAAGGCTTTTGAATCTCTCCCTGATCACACTGTCTGTCCTTACACCTGTTCAGCAGCATGTTACCTCCCTCTCTGATACAAACAATTCAGGTCTCCCTAACTTACCTTGAAGAACCAAACACCTTTCGTTTGCTTCTACTCTACTGTTCTCTCCTTTGCTCCCCAAAAACTTGCTACTATTGTTTTCCACATCACTACTATCCAGCACAATTCCTAATATGTACAAATCATTCCATGAATCGTGATTCTGGGAAGGAGTGTTTGAACAAGTGAATCCACCTGAGCTGTTTCCCCCTTCCCAGACTGATTCTTCATGCTGTATGTCACTTATCTGCAAGACAGACAGAATGCAGGGATCTCACCCCATTAGAGAACTACTGTCTTAATCCATCAAATCATTTTATGTCAAAAAGAAATTAATAAATGACACCCAGAAACTTGAAATATTCAGTGTGAGTGTATTTCTAATTATGCACACCAGAATTTGTAAATGTATTTTCTTTTCTTTCTTTTTTTTTTTAAGGAGAGAGGCTAGTTTTTTTTTTTTTTTTTTAATTTCGTTCATTTATTTTTATGTGGTGCTGAGGATGGAACCCAGGGCCTTGCATGTGCTAGGCGTGCACTCTGCTGCTGAGCCACAACCCCAGCCCTGTAAATGTATTTTCATAATGCTTAATTCTTTTGCATTCAAGCATAGCTTTTAAAGTTCTCAAATTATACTGACAGACTGGGTTGTGTCCCTGCTGTGTCTCTTAATTAGCCGTGTGATCTTTGGATGGTGGCTTAACCTCTCTGAGATGCAGTGATCTCCTTAATATGAAAAATATTCCTCTTCTATAACATAGGGTCTTTATAAAAACTCAGTGAGCTGATGCAAACAACATGGTTCCTAGAAATCAACAAGTGCCTAATAAATATTAGCAAAAATAACAATAATTCTAATATTTGGGACTGAAATCTGTCTTGCCAGTGATAGTAGTACGCTACATAACTATCCCACATTTTCTCGATTATAGCCTAGAATGGTAGTCAAAACCACCATGGGCATGTTCATCAAGATGCTAGTGGAAAAACATGGCTAGGTTCTGAGCTGAACACTCATCTCTCAGGGTTGAGAATCATCAGATGGCAGATTTAGGGTACAATTGCAAAAATTGCAAAAAAATTTAGATAATGTCAAACTACTCAACCACTTCCGCCATGAAAAGAAGCTAAGGGTTAGCATGATAACACTGAAGAAGAACTGTGCTTTGTGTCTCTGCGATCTCATTCCAACAAGAATCTTGAGACAACACAATCAATATGCCCACTTGAACAGGTCTATGGTCCAGGTGAGTGGTGAGACACCTGGGAATGGAGCCAAATGTGGACTTGAACAGAGCAAGCTACACACTTAGGATCTTGCAATAGCTTTCTGTGGAACCCAAGGCTCCATCTGGACTTAACAGCCTGTACTAAAAGCCACATGTGATTCTTGACTACCTTTCTACCTTTCCAGTCACTTCCTGGACCAGATTCCACTGTTCTGAGAAACCTCTCACCCCTTTCCACTCTGCACAGCTCCACTCAGTTGGTTCTTACCCCTTCTTTTGATTCAAATTGTTCCACTCTACAGCACTCTGTTATTACCCTTCTTAGCTTCYAGTGTATTTAGTCTATTCAAGGTAGTTTTGGCTCACCTTATTTAATGTCTATTTCTAGTACTAATTTGGATATTCCCTTAGGGCAAGGAAGATGTCAACTCTCAAATGAATAGCACCTAACCTAGTGCATAGGAAACAGTATGACCTTAATAAAATTTTAGGCTACATATAGTGCCATAAAAATTGAATAAGCTTATAGAGAGAGGAGGCCAAGTTTTAGCAGTGCCCAACTTTGGCTCCTGCTATAATAATAATCTGTTTACATCTTCTAGGATTTCACATTTGCCCCAGTCCATATTTCCAAGTGGTTATAAGAAAATACCTGTTGGATTTAGTATATCAGAGTGCAACTCTTTGCATACATTCTTCCATTTCCCAAATCTCCACCCAATGCAAATCACAATTAGTGTGTGTGTGTGTGTGTGTGTGTGTGTGTGTGTGTGTGTGTGTGTGATTGTTCCAGCTTCCATACAAGAAAACTTAGTACTGGTTACATTTGTTCCTTCACCCTAAATCTGAGAACACAATCCACCACACACACACACACACACACACACACACACACACACACACACACAATTCAAAATCTCTGAATTCCCATTCTTTCTCTAGACCACAGCCTATATCATCCGTTTTGTTTCCCAGTTTTAGCCTCTTACTCTTTGGAGGAATATGGGGTTGGGGAGGATAACACAGAATTGCTCAATGCAAGCAGAAACTAGCCAAGAATTAAGGAATGGGAAAGTAAGAGAGCAAATTCAACCAATGCAAAGCCGAGAGCCATTTCATTTCCTTTCTCTGAAAGGAAAATTTTTCTCAATAATTGCTTTAATCACTTAAGTTAGTATCAACATTTTAATGTAGAATTTTAAAATGAATTACACAGGAGGATCCTTTCTTTTTCTATTTGGATTAAATGACATATACACATTGCCTTTTGGAACTTAATATCTGCATAAAGCTTAAGTTATTTGCTAGCGTAAAAAATTATGGCTTGCTTTCTGACCTAAAGAATTCTGTTTTTCTCCTTAGACACCCCTCAACAGTTTAGCTTTTCCTCTTTATAAGTCCTGCACACAGTAGGCCTTCAGTATGTGCTTGCTAAAGTGGCTTCCTATCTCTCTATCTCACAACAGGTTACATGACATTTATATTTTATTTTTCTTATGTGCTTTGTTCTCTTAAAATTCCCAGGGCCTTTTTAAAGCTGTTTGCTACCACTTTTCACCTCCCCTCCCTCCAAATTCTTTGAATTCCATCCTGTACTCGGGATTCTTTTAAAATGAGACTTTGTTTAAAGCAGTTTTTCCCACTGCATAGCCTTTAAAACCACCAGGGAGCCAGAAAAATGTCTCCAGCTTTATGTATCACAGATCAGATGGACCAGTTCAGACTGAGCCCTCCACTGATCAAATGAGACAACAGCAGCTACAGCATGATCAATATGTGTTTACTTAATTCTTTTTTCCCCCAGGGTTCTTTGCAAGCATTTCCATAACCAGAACACCATTTAGTAAATTGCATGATGCCTAAAACAATAACTATGCCCTCAAATGAGCCCAATATAGACACTGAGAAAAAATAAAATAAAACCAGTCAAAAGCAAACCAAAGTTGAGATGAGGACAGGCAAGTAGGCAGATGTGTGTGTGGATACGAGATAGGCACTTGATAAGTGGTGGTGGAAGTGCCAGGTTATAGAGAAAAGGGTACATTCAGAAGGTCTTTGAAAAAGATTCACAATAAAAGGTGATATTCTGTGTCATATTCTGGTTTTTGAGTTCTAGAAATTCTGCTGAAAGAGTTAGCCTTCTCTGTTATTGAGCTAATCAATCCACAATTTAACACGCAGTCCAGGGACTCTTCCTAATCTTTAATATCTCATTTATCTGTTGTTGATGCACTGGTGATTCAGGTAGCCAACTTTTTCTTTCCTTTTAAGAATCATAAATTTCTTCCTCTCCACCCATTTTTCAAAATACACATCCTTTAATCAACAGGAGGGTGGTAGAGGGTTCTAGGAATGCCTGACAAATTCACAGGCCTAAATGCATTAATTTGTGAAGAGTAAAAGAGATTTTGTATGTGTGGGCTGCCAGAGACGGATGAGCTAACTACAGCAGCTTTAAAAAAAGAAAAAAAAAAAAAAAAAAGGAGTGTCAATAATCTCTAGGGGCTAATGGGTCACAGCAGCCACTTTCCTGATTAAAGTGGCTCTGCTTCCTTCCTCAATTCTTTTGTCTCTACATGGAGTTGGAATTTTATCATTGATTAGCTTTTAAATCATTTTGAGCTACAGAGGAAGGGATTTTAAAATGTTAGTWAAAAAAAAAAATATTTTCCTTCAGATAAAATTGACTTTGCTATATGGCTCAAAGTCACACTCTATAAATCCTATTTAGGAGTAGGGAGGACTTACAGTCTGGGGTTACTGCACACTGTAACACTGCACTGTAACAGGCAAGGGATTGCTATGAATTTGCCGCGTCAGCATGGTTAGAAGCTGTAGAAATGACAGATTTTCCAAAGTGGGGCTTTGGATGACACTGTGATTGAAGGAGAGAGAGGACTTCTGGTGAAGCCTCGTATGTTTAGCAGGTGTGCAGATATGCAGATTTTTCTTAGATATTTATTCATGTTGGCGCTGCTGGGAGAGGGTGGGTTAGGGATTACAGAAGGATTAAAACTCCTTAACCACACATTGGGGTTGCAAATCACAACATCTCTACTAGTGTCCTTTATTAGGAAATTAAATAAAATGACTTGGTGTCCATTTTGGAAAACGCTATTCTTAAAATAATAATTATAGGTGACATTTCCACATGCTTGCTAAGCATTTAATATGGTATCTTCACAAAAGCTCAGCAAGGCAAATGATATCAGTTTCATCGTGCAAATGTGGAAACTGAGTTACAAAAAGGAGAAAGGACCTTGTCAAGGTCACACAACTGGAGCCCCGTCCAACATAGGGAGGCTGATGCCAGATGCCACGCAGTCCCTCCCAACATGACAGGGCTTCACCTCTTAATGATATGGCACCCGCCAACATAAATGCTCTCCTTCAGTCAATTCTGGAGGATGGGACTGGCAGAAGTTCTGCTGCAT